AAATGAAGAACAAAGATTCCAGGAAACTGCAGTAGCAAAAGCTGTGAGCCAGAATAACCTTAGCACCAAACTAAGAGCTGGAAGGAGACCTGTATGGCCAGAATGTGGTCAATGAATGAGAGAACACCCCTCTTTCCCCAGCATCTCATCTTAGCAAGAGGCCAAATCACATAACACCTTCTAGGCAGAGGGATCCATAATTTAATGACCCAACAAGAGAAAAGGCAATCATTATGCCAAGACAATAACCAGGACTATCAAAAGCAGACTGGGACATAAGGCCATTCTATTCACTAGCCTTGGGGAGTAATGTGGACTTTATTCTTAATGCAATGGGAATCATTTAAAGGGTTTTAAGCAGGGGAGTGAAAAGCTCTAATACATATTTTAAGAAAAACTCTTAAAAAAGGAAAAAAAAGTCATTTAAGAAACAGATTGGGAAAAGGGTGAGAATGGAAACAGGAGTCCCTGCGAGGAGGCTGGAATGGTTGTCTGTGTAAGAGATGATATTCTGGACTCGGTGGCAGTAAAGTGGAAATAGAATCAGTAGGTTTGCTGATGGGTTGGCTGGAGAGGTAAGTGAGAGGGAGAACTAAAGAACAAATCCTAGTTTTCTGGCTTTGGCAGCCGCAGGGATACCACTACCATTTTGAAAAGGGAAACACTGGTATTGGGTACTGACTTAGAGACACTGTGCCCCACTGGACTTTTTAAAAAATCTAGTTCAGAGGTGCTGGCTGGCTCAGTCAGTAGAACGTGTGACTCTTGATCTTGGGGTTCCAAGTTCGAGCCCCACGTCGGGTGTAGAGATTACTTAAAAATAAAATCTTGAAAAAAAAAAGAAATCCAGTTCCAAGTCCAGGAGCTCATGGCAGATACTGCAGAGCATGTATCACAATAAAACCCTAATTGTAAAGTCTTGCAACTGCTGCTACAGGCCCAGTTTTTCCTCACAAACACCAGGCAGATGAATCAAAGACCTCAACTGAATATACTGGCTCCTAGAATCTTGAGTTGATTTTAAACTGTATGCCTCCATCCAAGCCTACTTCCTTCCAATGTCATAATAACTTAAATGATGAATTCTTTAGTCTAGATTTTAAGTTCTTTTTCTATGAGCTATGTCACCTAGTTCAGCAAATTCTAAACAAATGTCAGTGAGCTACAGTGATATATTAAAGTGATACATAAAGTGTTAGTGAGCTGCAGTGACAAATTTAAATTTTAAAAAATATTGGACATATTGCACACTGCAGATACTGAACATGTCTGTCATCATAGAAAGATCTATTAATGCCATTCTAGAGTCTCTAATACAGAAAACTATTCATGGGAAATCACGTGTAACTGAAATAGCTTCTCCCAAGCCACTTGGATACCTGGTTTATTTCCAAAAAAAAAAAATCCACTGGATTATATAAAAAGCCTGTTATTTAGATATTTTAAATCAGTCATATTCTAGGATATAACACAGACATGAACTCATTTCTATGAAGTCAGATAGCAGTAGTGCTCAGGATTAAAACTATCCATGTACTACCTTTGTGGCGTCCTTTTGGTAGAAGGGTAAATATGAGCTTTAACAGTGTGGTGGGGGTGGTGAAGTGAAACAAGAAACTCTTTTGACTTCACCCACGATATGCTGGTAACAAGCCTCTCCCAGTAATGGCTCTCACCTGGCTAATGCTCTGTTGTTAACATTCCCATTAGAGCCAGGCTCTGCTGAGTTAACATTTGCACATACCAGACAGGATGTTAACATGAGGTTGGCAGATGATCTATTCTCACTCCTACATGAAAGGCTTAAGAGGTTTTGAAAATGTACAAGTCAAGATGGGTTTTAGATGATTCACTCAACACCATCTGGGAAGAGGCCAAGGCCATCCATGAGATCTATCAGACCTGGGATGATACGGGAAATACTTCACTCTGCTATCCATTCTTTTTTTTTTTTTAAAGATTTTATTTATTTATTTGAGAGAATAAGAGAGAGAGAGAGCATGAGAGGGGGAAGGGTCAGAGGGAGAAGCAGACTCCCTGCCAAGCAGGGAGCCCGATGCGGGACTGATCTTGGGACTCCAGGATCATGACCTGAACCGAAGGCAGCCACCTAACCAACTGAGCCACCCAGGTGCCCCTGCTATCCATTCTTATAGTGTTTATGATTTGTTCCAAAAATACAGGGGTAAGAACAAGATAGTTTTTAATAATCAAATAAATAAACTAATGAAGCTTCTTTGTTTTTTTTAGAGAGAGAGAGAGGGAGCATGCATGAGTGCATACAGGTGAGCGGGGGAGGAGGGTGGCGCAGAGGGAGAGAGAGAATCTTAAGCAGGCTCCACACCCAGCACAGGAGCCTGGGGCTCCATCTCACGACCCTGAGATCCTGACCTGAGCTGAAATCAAGAGCTAGCCAGTGATCCCATTAAACTAATGAACTCTTAATTGCTTCTCTACCTACTAGAATCAGAACTTCCTTCATTAAAATGAAGTATTAGTACAGAGGAAAAAAGGCATTTGGAAGGAACAGAATTATAAAGGCTACTGTTTCATAACAGAATGAATTCTTCTCATTCATTGATGTTCTATAAGGGAAGATGAAGAAGGTAATGAAAGGCAATTTGAGCACCTACTGTATACTATGTACAATACCAGGCTCTTTTCACATACTTTATTCCACAGATTCCTCACAACCAGAGAGATCGGTATTTGTATCCCCATCTTACAAATGAGGAAAGCTAGGCCAAAGGGTTAGACTATTTTCTGAAATTCACACAGCTATTAAGAAACAGAATTGGGGCACCTGGGTGGCTCAGTTGTTTAAGGGTCCGACTCTTGGTTTTCACTCAGGTTATGATCTCAGTGGTCCTGAGGTCGAGCCCTGTGACCGACAGGCTCCCCACTCAGCAGAGTCTGCTCAGGGATTCTCTCCCTCTGCCCCTCCCCCCATTCATACTTGTGTGCACTCTCTCCCTCTTTCTCTCTCTCTCAAAAGTAAATAAAGCTTAAAAAGAAAGAAAGAAAGAAAGAAAGAGCAAACAATGTACTTAAGCAGGATAGGCACCGATATTTTTGCCAACATTCTCAAAGTGCAGTCCTTAAATTGTTATTGGTCTGCAAAGATATTAGTTAGAAGGGTGAATAAGGGATTGGAAACTTTTATGTCACCTTGACATGGCCATGACATTTCTAATGTATTTTACAAAAGTTCTGGTCCAACATGGATTGGAAATTTTAAAATCTAGTCCCTCACCACATTATGAGAAACACTACCCTAGCCTATAAGCACTATGAGGTCTGGGACTCTGCTGTTCATCGTGGAATCTTCGACATATGTTCCATTCAAGATTTGCTGAACTCCTGCACTAAAGTTCCAACTCAAGTTTTTCTGGCTCCATAGCATTGTTTGTCTCCATGAGCTTACCAACTGAATGCTTAAAATTTCCTTAGAGAGGTCCTATTTCTATTTAAACATGTTGATCAGAAAATATGTCAAATAAGTACAATTTGTTTGTCCTACAGATATGTTGAGATTTCCAGAAAAAGGAGGTTTAGCTTTTTTCTTTTTCCCTACAATTGTTTAAACAATAGAGAGGTTCAGTAGAAAATGGAATTTAGGGGCGCCTGGGTGGCTCAGTCGGTTAAGCGTCTGCCTTCGGCTCAGGTCATGATCCCAGGGTCCTGGGATCGAGCCCCGCATCGGGCTCCCTGCTCAGCGGGAAGCCTGCTTCTCTCTCTCCCACTCCCCCTGCTTGTGTTCCCACTCTCACTGTGTCTCTCTCTGTCAAATAAATAAATAAAATATTTTTAAAAAAAGAAAAGAAAATGGAATTTATTCAGTTCAAAATGGAGTTTATTTTGAAAAGTTATTTATTCATCATGCTATTATGTATTTGAAATGGCGATATACTTCAAACTCAACAAAAAATATCATGCTATAATTTTTAAAAATGAATTACAAAGAGAACTAAGCAATACGGTCAAGAGTTATGTAAGAAACTATTCACAGGACAGTAATTTCTCAAAACAAATTATAATGTTAAGAATTGTTTTAGAAAAGGTTCCAAAACTAGAGATTTTTCACACAGGAATTACATTTCCAGGTTTCTGCTGTACCACATATAGAGCACAGGGAATCATTTAGTGAATGTGAATCACCCTTAAGTGTACCCCACTTGTCATGTTCACATGTATCTTTTAAAAGAACAACTGAAAATAATGATACTCTTAGAGACATTAATGGGTGTGAACCTACCACTTCTCAGTAATTAAGTTTAAGATGATGTTAATAATTATACCATCTAAGTAAATTTTCACTTCAACTTCTTTCTTCATTGTTTCCTCTACCTTACCCTTCTTTTGTTAAGTCTTAATAACTTGCCAAAATATAACTGGAATAAAGTAGGATTAAAAGTGCTTTAACTTCCAATGCATAATGAAACTTGTAAAAACCTGCAGGTACAAAAAAGTGCATGAGAAAAATGAATATGCTGTCAGACACATCATAATTGTTTCCCAACAGGTCCGTTCAAGTTGACAATTATAAAAATTGAATACAGAACTTTAAAAAGTTAGTTGTAAAAATGTCTATTTTAAGTGTCTATTACTGGGAGCAGATTGAGATAGAATAGTTTTGAACACTGACCGTGACATTCTTTATACATTGCTAGTGCAAAATTCTGATAGACATCTTCTGCAAATGCCCAAGAAGAAATATAATCACTTTAAAAACTCTTTTATTATGAACACAGAAAGTTTGGAAACTTTGGAAATATGGATATAAAGGTTCTATTTTTTGGAAATCATCTGGGTATACTACACAGACAATAGAAACATACATTTCAGAAAATATCTATATTCACATATATATGAATGTAAACATGTAACCATATATTAAAAGGATACATATATATATAAGTTATGCTGAAAATTTTTTGACATAGGGAAAGATGCAAAAGAGGACAGTCTCAGACTTTAAGAAAATATCTGTAGATACTCACAATATGCAAAAGTTTTAACACATCCACAAACCTGTAAAAGACAACAATAAAAGAAATGTTTTAAATGAGCCAATGGGGAAATAAATGGTCTTCTGAATTATAAACTGAATACCTACACCTTCTCTGAGCTCATAATCTCCTTGGCAATATGATGGACTTTACTCTTCATTCCAGTATCTTCATCCTGTGGACAAGAGTGCATTAACAAAGCATGAACTCATAAAAGAATAATGAAGATCAGCTTTGAGCTAGTCAGATTTAAATTCAAGCTCTGATACTTATAGGTTTCTGATCAGAACACATTTCATACTATATAACATCTCGAATGGAAACATGGAAAACTAGATGCAGTTACTAAAGCATAATACAGGAAGAGCTGAGAGCAATCGGTGATCCTCACCGTTAACAGCATTGGACTATTACAGCACTGGACTGATCGACTGCCCTGAGGAGCCTGAGCCTTGGTAGAGCACAAGCCAATGGTTCAAAACTGAAAAGTCACATTCTGCAGGAGAAATGACTCCTACAGATATAACATAAACATGAGTTCTTCCCAATATCTAACCTAGGAATTCTTCCACTACCCTGAATTTCTTTTCAATATCTGCTGGTAATCACGGCATCTCCTCACAAAGATTCACTGCTAAACAAATACCCAGATATATCTACCCCTCCCTTCAAGATTTAACAAATCCCAAACATTCTGCAATATCTGGTTTAAAATATTTCATAAGGGGCGTCTGGGTGGCTCAGTCGTTAAGCGTCTGCCTTCCACTCAGGTCATGATCCCAGGGTCCTGGGATCGAGCCCCACATCGGGCTCCCTGCTCAGTGGAAAGCCTGCTTCTCCCTCTCTCACTTCCCTTGCTTGTGTTCCTTCTCTCGCTGTGTCTCTCTGTCAAATAAATAAATAAAATTTAAAAAAAAATTTCATGAAACAAATTGTTATGTATAATGTTAAAGTCTCCCTCCCCCTCCAAGAGTAAATACTAATCTTGCAGTGTGTATTTATCCCTTCCATGTTTTCATATTTTAGTTCAGAAGAACTTAAATATGATATAAAAAAATCCTAACCCTTCCATCAGAATATATTGTTATGCAAAAAATATTCAAGGTAGGCTATGAAACCAACTACTTACAAAAATAATCTTTAAAGTGCAGTTATTAATTTAGAATGCATTAATACTGCATTCTAGTTAGCCTAGGATATTTTGCCTTGCTACTTGACCTTAGCTCCCAAACTCTATCTTTAGAGGAACAATTAGATAGATGAATTTGATCTCCATCCCCATCATTATTCTGCTCTTCTAAGACAGGTTATTAAATGACTGTGACCAACAGACTGGATAAGTTTTGCTCAACTGAGCAAGATGCATAAGATACTCAGCTCCATTCACCAGCTAACATTCCTCAGGAAGCAGTCTTAAGCACAGTGTGATCTTGCAGACCATGTATCAGTCATGTGCTAATAACCATGACTGTGTACACACACTCACACACACACACACACACACACGGATAATTGTTACTTTGAAAAATTTAGCCAAGTCATTGCTTTCCTATTATAAAGGGTTTCAGCGCCTGGGTGGCTCAGTCGGTTAAGTGGCTGCCTTCGGCTCAGGTCATGATCCCAGGGTCCTGGGATCCGAGCCCCGCATCGGGCTCCCTGCTCAGCAGAAAGCCTGCTTCTCCCTTTCCCTCTGCCTGCCGCTCTGCCTACTTGTGCTATCTGTCAAATAAATAAACTTAAAAAAATCTTAAAAAAGGGCACCTGGGTGGCTCAGTTGGTTAGGCGACTGCCTTCGGCTCAGGTCATGATCCTGGAGTCCCGGGATCGAGTCCCACATCGGGCTCCCTGCTCAGCGGGGGGTCTGCTTCTCCCTCTGACCCTCTTCCCTCTCGTGCTCTCTCTCATTCTCTCTCTCTCAAATAAATAAATAAAATCTTTAAAAAAAAAAAAATGAAAAACAGGGGGCACCTGCCTGGCTCAGTCAGCAGATCATGAGACTCCTGATCTCTGGGTTGTGGGTTTGAGCCCCACATTGGGTGCAGAGATTACTTAAAAATAAAAACTAAAAAATCTCTAAAAAAATATGAAAAAGAAAACTAAACCACTGAAAGAACTAAAACCTTAACTCAGCACTCTTATTTTCAAATGATGTGAGGTCCCGTAAAGGTCAAGAGATGCTCTTAGCAGCAGCTTTAAAGAAACCTTGGTACAGGGGTGCCTGGGTGGCTTAGTCAGTTAAGCGTCTGCCTTTGGCTGAGATCATGATCCCAGGGTCCTGGGACTGAGCCCAGTGTCAGGCTCCCTGCTCAGCGGGAAGTCTGCTTCTCCCTCTCCCCCCCTCCACTTGTGCTAATAAATAAAATCTTAAAAAAAAGAAAAAAGAAACCTAGGTACACTATAGACTTGAAGCATTTGACTAGCAGAGCCACCTAAAATGTGCACCATCTTTATACAATGATTTCAAGTAGGTGTACTTTATTTTTGGCATCTCCCTTTTATTTCCTTTTCTCTTTTTAAAGATTTATTTATTATTTGAGAGAGAGAGCACGCACGCAAGCAAGCTTGGAGGAGGGTGCAGTGCACAGAGAGGGACAGAATCTCAAGCAGACTCTGCACTGAGTGTGGAGCCCAATACGGACCCTGAGATCATGACCTGAGCCAAAACCAAGAGTTCAATGCTTAACCGACTAAGCCACCCAGGCGCCCCTTCTTTCTTCCTTTTATAACTCTGTGCTGTTAAGTCTCTACTCCAAACATATTTTTCCTCTTTAGGACCTTGCTCTGAACTGTGTGATGACTCCTAATAAATGTTAGCCCAGGCAGATATCATGCTTCTGTTCCAGCAAGGGACAAAAGTACTTTAACTCAGAAACACAATTACAGTGGGCCTGACATTCCTTATCCATAAAATGAAAATGCTGAACCAACTTTAAAATCTTAAGATTCAAACATTCAGTGTCTCAGGTGTGGCATGGCAAGTCGGTGAGAAAGAGGGTGGCGGCGATTCAGAGGCAGCTCTGGAGCTCGTGACTAAGAAGTATGTGTTTCCTTTCTAGAAGCTGAGATTGTAAACTTTGTGGGGGGAATGAGGAGTACTGGCATAAAGACAGACATGTAGATCAATGGGAAAAAACTGAGGGAAGCAAGCCCTTAAATTTTGTCAATGGATTCTTGACAAAGTTGTCAAGGCAATTTAATGGAAGAAAGGATTTTGTTTTTCAACAAAAGGTTGAAAATTACTGGACCAATTAGATATCCATAAGCAAAAAGATGAGTTTATAAGCTAACTGATACCACATAATTAAAAATGTATCCTGGACTTAAATGTAGGAGCTAAAACTCTAAAACTTCTAGAAGAAAACCTTTGTGACCCCATATAGGGTAACAGTTTTTAGATATAACACCAAAGGCATGACCCATAAAAGAAAAAAACACACTGATAAACTGAACTTCAGAAAATTAAAACTTTTAGGCTCAAAAAGACACCATAAAGAAATAAAAAGATAAGCCATAGGTGGTAAAAAAAAAAAAAATACATGCAAACATGGTTCTGTGTCCAGTATATGTAAGATGTGAATAGACATTTCATTAAATATATAAGAATAGCAAATAACTTCATGAAAAGATGCTCAATATAATCAGTCATCAGGGAAATGCACATTAAAACCACAGGGGGATTCCACTTCATACCCACAGAATGGGATTAAAAAAAATCAGAAAATAGTGGGGTGCCTGGCTGGCTCAGGCAGAAGAGCATGCAACTCTTGATCTTGGGGTCATGGGTTCTAAATTACTAAATTACTAGATACTGAAGTACTAGATTACTAGAAAAATAAATAAACTTAAAAAAAAATCAGAAAATAGCAGGTGTTGGTAAGGATGTAGATAAAATGGAATCTTTATCTATTGCTGGGGGAAATGGGAGCCTTTATTCATATATTGTGATTGGAAGTTTTAGCTGTCTTCTAATACCACTAAAGGCAGAATTTGCATTTCTTATCCACCTTGTTATTCTGAAATCATTCCAGGAGGAAGAAGTGACCACCATCCTCACACCATCATTTAAAAATCTATAGTAACTGACTATCCATCATTTGATAGCAAGGTTAGTAAGAGAAAACGGCTCTACCCTCAGCTGATTCATTGCCCTACAGTTAAATGTGAAAACATTACTGGATCATTAGAACCTCCAGGCTGTTCTTAAATTTCAGATTCCCATTGAACTGTCTTGGAAATTCTGATTGTGTAGGTCTGAGATGGGGCAGGAAAGTGGCTGTCATAAGATGAAATTAAGGACAAATTTTTAAAAAGCCCCAGCCTTCAAGAAGAGAATAAGGAGAGCATACCAAATACAAATTTAACTATATATATAACTATGAAATGTGCTGACATCTTGAAGGAGTGAGAGATTATAACAGGCAGCAGTGTGTAATTCACAAAGAATAAAGCATCCGATGCCCTTCTGTCACTCCTTAAGCAAGTCATCAAGTGTCTGCATACTAGATACTATAGATACCCATTCATCAAAGTCAGAAACCTGGACTCCTTTCTTCTCCACCTTCTATGATCACAACTGAGTCCTCAAGTCCGGATAATTTATCCTTCTGAATGTTTCCTTAAAGCTTCATTGATCCTTACCTCTTCTTTAATACTGCCTCTTTGGTTCTTGCCTACGCTACTGCAGGAACCTAAGTAGTTTCCTTGGCTCTAGATTTTACCCCACTGCAATCCAGTCTCTACACTGCCACCAAAGTGATAGTTCTAAAATGCAAATACAATCACCTTAGTTCTCAGGTTGAAACACATTAGCAACTCCCTATCACCTACGGGCAACAAAGACCCAAGTTTCCTTTGCCATGTATCTGAGACACTCTATAGTATGTCTAGTTATATTCACTAGTCCCTTCTTGCTCCCCAACATTACTGTCTCTCCTCCAGCCACACTGGAATCACCTTGCAACTCCAAGTGTGCTGTGCCCTCCATGTCTGTCCCTATATGCCTTTCCTTCTGCTTTCACTTCCCTCCTTATCACTTCTCCCCTCCCCAAAGGTTTCTGCCTGTCATATTCTGACTTATCCTTTAAGATGGCACTCAAAGGTTTTCTCCTTTATGAAAGGCTCCCTTGATATTCTCTCCCCACCACTGTCACAAGACAAATTATTCTCTTATTCATG